AAATAAAAAATAAATAAAAAAATAAATAAAAAAAATAAAATAAAATGCATACTTTAAAAAAAAAAAACTAAATTTAAAACAATGTTGTAAAAAAGTCACTTGACAACTAGTGAAAAATGCGTATGTTTAAGTGTACAAATCTTATTTTACATTAAAACCTAAGAAATAAGCATAAAACATTTTAAGCCTATTGAAATGTTAAAATACTTCTGACAAATGATACAAGATTATGAATCAAGAATGCAGAAGAATGAGTGCAGTTCACTCATAAATGTAACAATATACTCATTTCACTAACACTCAAAGAAAATCACATTAAAATATTACAGTCATAAAAACTCTTAGTCTGGTATTTTCTTTATTCTTAAATCTGCAACAGCAAGAACAAGACTTTGCTTGCTTGAGTAGTCTTTCTAAAGTGAGTTTCCAGACAGAATGTGGGCACCTTCCAGGAGCTGGAAAGGGCATGTAAAAAGGATTACCCTTTTTCTTGTATATCTGAGGGTTCCTATTTCATTTGAGGTTTAACTTTTATTGCTGTAAGTTTTCACTAGAAAATAATAAGGCTGCAGAAATGAGAGAAACTCTAAGACCTGCACCACGAAACAAGGAGATAACCAGGAGGTGGGACCCACAGGTGGAAAGGTTTTTTTATTTGCTCCCAGCTGATGAAATTATCAGTATGGAGGAGAGAATCTGAGAGTAAGGTAACATCCCAGTAAGAGGGAAACAGCTAGGGAGATGGGCAAACTTCAGGAATTTGGATAGATCACAAAAGAAGTGTGAGAGAAGGACAGTCTCAAAACAGGCAAGGTTATGGACAGACGGTTCATCAATCAGGACCTCAAAGCCATCAGATCACAGAGCTAGGGGTCCATGGTGACCACATAGTGCAAGATGACAGAGGTCATCACCAGGAGGAGTAAATTGTCTAGGCACCCAAACACAATAAAAAAGATAATATATTGGCTGAGATAATAATATTGGCTGAGGAGGGCTTCATAGATTGTGAAGATAATAATATTGGCTGAGGAGGGCTTCATAGATTGTGTCTTTTTCCTTGTCTGGAATTTCAGCAAATGTGTTTGACCTGGTGAAATGGAAAGGAAAAAGTACATGAGTGTAAGAGGGATTCCAGGCTGATGGCTGGGATGATGAATAGGTTCCCAAAACATGTGACCAGGTACAAGGACAGAAAGATTCCCAAAATCAACGACTGCCACTCTTGCTCCCATGGAAATCTCAGAAGAGAAAGTTTCCAAAATTTGTTTGGTTTCCTATTTCCATGAAGCTTCTGAGTTTTGCAGAGGAGAAAAAGATACAGAAATCAATCCAGAGTACAGCAGTTCTCTTCTATCCAAACCTCTGGGACTTATAAATTCACTGATTTGGGATAATCACTGGCTTTCTTTGGTGCCAAGTTGTGGCTACCATCACTTTGTAAACACAGTCTCTAGGTCAGTTGTGATCAAATGGTATTCCCTGGAACAGCCACCAAAGTCACCTGAGAACTTGACAGAGATTCTTGTTCTCAGGATGCATGGACCTACTGAATCAGGCACCCTGGAAATGGCATTGGAAATCTGCGCAAGCCCTTCCTGGATTCTGATGCATAGACAAGTTTGAGGACCACTGTTCCATGGCTTCCTTGCACCCCAAAACTATCCTTCTTTCTGCACAATCTGTGATGGCTGCCTTTACATTTTCGGTTCAACATCCATTAGAATGAGAAATTTCTAACTCAAGGAAAATCTTTAAGTGGCTGTGACTCAAGCCAGATCTCCGGAGAAACACCACATTACTTAACAAAATTTCCATTTCAATTTACTCATGGTGGTATTGCATTGGTTGACAAACAAATGTGTGTGGGTGTGTGTGTGTGTGAGTGTAATTGCCACGTAGGAATGTCTATGATTAGTCAGAATGTCACCTTAAAACACAAAATCAGTACCAAAAGTCAATTAGCTAAATATTCCAAGCAAATATGTGCTGATGGTATGGATTGTTGTCTTTAAAAATGTACTGTTGTGTGAACATCATAATGAAAGAAAAGTACCCAGTGTCATAAAAGCATACAACTGGGGATATGAAGGAATCTCGATAGAAGAAGAAAAGGAGATAATTTCCACAAAACAATCACATGAAGAGTGAATTGGCAAGATGAAGGGAGGAGTTGAAATTGTTCAATTATTGTAGAAACCTCATTTCTTCAGAGATTTTTCATCTATGCTATATCTCCCTTTGCCTCCCCCAAGCAGAAAAAGTAGCAACAATGGAATGTCAGAAGTCAATGTTTTATTAGTTGTCCCAATTCTGTTTATTTCATTATCTAGTGTTTTCACATAGATGAAAAAAAAAGAACAACTTTCAACACAATGACCTAAATTGTACCACATTATGTAGAAAGATACAAGGGTACAACATTCGTTTTTGGTGAAGGGCAACATTCATTTTTATTTATATGTTTTAATTGTAATAAAATATGTTAAGATTATTTTAAGCATAAGGTATGACAGCCCGTATGTCTCAAAATATAGAAAGGAAGTGAGTTCAGAGGGGAAAGCAAAGATGGCATAATTTCCACTCTTCAAGAAAATCTTATTCATGAATTTTTAAATTGTCTCATTTATAATTTTTATTAAACTTTAACTTGGGGATAACTGTAGATTAACATGCATATGTAAGAAATAAACCAGAGAGATCCAGCATTCTTTACTCAGTTTTCCCAACAGTAACAGCTTGCATAAAACTATAGTACATTATCACACCCAAGATGTGGAGACTGAGAACAGTCAAAACACAGAACAGCTCCACCAAAATACTTAGCATTGGCCCCTTTGAGAGCCTCATCTACCTTCCTCCCTTTCTTGTCCTTGACCTATAAGAACTACTAATCCATTCACCATCCATATACTGTTGTCACTTCAGACTATTATCTAGAATTTTAAAATATCTGCCTAAGAAAAATAAAGGCGTAAATATCTCTAGGTCCCTGTTTTGCCCATGACTACAATAAGCACTTTGGATACCAAACTGAAATAAAAGCAAGATCCTGAATATGACAGCAACATTACTGTTAGATTGGAGGCATAAATTCTGGTGCTCAGTTGTACACTGGGGTGACTATAGTTAATAATGCCCTGTACATATCAAAATTGTTAGAAGTGAGGATTTTAGAATTTCTTCACCACAAAGAAATGATTAAAGTTGAAGGTGACAAATATGTTAACAACCCCAGATTTATCTTTATGGGATAAAAACATGAGTCAAAACACCATGTTGTGTCTCATAAACATGTATTAATATTATGTATTAATTAAAAAATAAAAATTTTTAAACCCCTAACCAATAGGTATAAAATAAACTAGCATGTTGAATTCCACATTATCAAGAAAAGTAGTTAAGGCAGTGACATACAAAGACATGATACATGAAAAAGGAAAATATTTGACCTCAGATTTTAAAAAATTGCATTGGTTGCCTAGTGTAACTTTTCCCATATATGGAGAAAGCCCAATCTCTAGTTCTTCAATAAAACTAAAGAACCATTATGCAATATGATATGTAATACAAGAAAAAATTACTTTAAAGAAATTCTTTCTTTTTTAAAGAAATTCTTGCTGGTTCATCACATATATGAGAATTTCCAAATATTTCTGGTCCAGTATTTGGAATAACGTTGGGAATTTGGGTAAGAAAAAAGAAAACACTGTTGGCTATCAGAACAGAAAATCTAAAAACATGAATTATTTATATTGTATAGGAACATTGAAATTACAGTAATAGAAAGTCCAGGAAATAAATGTAATGATCAATTTCCATTTTCATGATCTGGTCAAAGAATCACAGTTTTAGACTCAGAAGCTTCGAAAGTCCTGCAACCAAGAGAGCTGTTCAGCTCAAGGTTGGATGCTTTTACACTTTGCACCCAGAAAGTCTTTTCAGAGCTCTCTTTACATCTTTATTCCTCAAGCTGTAGATGAAGGGGTTCAGCATGGGTGTGACCACGGTGTACATCACTGAGGCTGTTGCACTTGACTGTGAGCTATGGGTTGCAGCAGAACTAAGGTACACACCTAGACCCGTGCAATAGAATAAGGAGACCACAGAGAGGTGAGATGCACAGGTGGAAAATGCTTTATACTTCCCCTGAGCTGATGAGATTGAACGTATGGAGGAAACTATTTTAGAGTAAGAATAAAGGATGCCAGCCAGGGGAACAGTAGCCAGTAGCACAAGTGCAAAATACATCACCAAGTCATTAAGAAAGGCATCGGAACAAGAAAGCTGGACCACCTGATTGAGTTCACAGAAAAAGTGTGGGATTTCCAAATCTGTACAGAAGGACAGCCGCAGCACCATTAGGCTTTGTAACAAGGCATGCAGGACACTCACAATCCAGGACAGCAACACCAGTAACATACAGAGTGGGCGGTTCATGATGACTGGGTAATGCAGGGGGTGACAGATGGCTACAAACCTATCATAGGCCATCACAGCCAGGAGGAAGTTGTCCAACTCCACAAAGAGCAAGAAAAAGTACATCTGAGTGATGCAGCCTGCATAGGTAATGGCCCTGGTCTGTGTCTGGATGCTCACCAGCATCTTGGGCACAGTGGTGGAGGTGAAACAGATGTCTACAAAGGAGAGGTTGGAGAGGAAGAAGTACATGGGTGTGTGCAGGTGGGAATCTGAGACGATGGCCAGGATGATGAGCAGGTTCCCAAGCACAGTGGTCAGGTACATGGAGAGGAAAAGCCCATATATGAGGGGCTGCAGCTCTGGGTCCTCTGAAAATCCCAGAAGAAGAAATTCTGAACTTCTTGTGTCGTTTCCTAGTTCCATCTGGTGGATGCAACTAGCAGAAAAAAGAAAAACTAACATTAGTAATATTCTCACAAATGGATGTTACTCATATTGTTGAAATGCTCTAATTTATATGTGTCAGTTTGTAAGTTATTTTATATACTTTATGATCTAGTTCCCATAGGGTACCCCTAGTGTCCTTTTTGATTTGGAATTTCTGTTCTGCTCTAACCCTTTTCCCTATGAGGTCATGTGTTCTACAGTTTTAATGAGAAAATAGTATTTACATTTGAGAAAGATATATTGAGTGCTGACCAAGTTACAAGCCCTGTCTACAAAATGATAAGCTGCAGCTGAAAACAAACATTCCTACATACCAATCACGGACATAGAATATATAAAGATAAGTAAACCACATGTCTATGACCTGTTTCCTGGTGAAAGTATCACACATCCACAAAATTATACATATTAAATGTATGTGGTCCTTTTACTGTCAATTATACCCCAATAAAGCTGCTTAAAAAAAGAAATAATCATGTAACATGGCACATGGTGAATATATCATGAAAACAATGATAGGATAATAGAGAGAGTAGATAGGAGGTGTGTGTGTGTGACCGTGTGTGTGTGTGTGTGTGTGTGTGTGTGTGTTCCTTGGGATAAATCCTAGGATCTGGTGCATGCTAAGCAAGTGCTCTGCCACTGACCTACACCCCCCAGGCCCACAGTCAGGCAAGAGAAGGCGACATGTGAACAGAAGATAGGATGGGAGCCAGGAAGTCACCTGTGCAAATTTTACCTGGCAGAGGGAACAATCAGTGCAAAAACCCTGAGAGAGGTACGTGGTTCAGATTCTCAACATCTTCAAGGAGCTAGTGTGTGGATGTCAGTGAGAGAGGAGGAGGGTGCTGAGAGACAGCAGCAAAGGTTGTTGAAGAATGAGGTGTTGCTGAAACTGCTGGACACAGGAACCCCTCTTCCACACCATGTACTTCTCACACATTATTAATTTTGCTGCAAAGGCATCCTGTGAATTCAAGTGGAAACTCTCCTTACTGCTATTTGTGGTTGAGTCTTCCTCTGTATTATAAGAATCATTCCACGTACCTCTGCCCTGAGGATTGCGCACACACCACCACAACACTTTGACACTCTCAATGCACTGATTAGGCTACGACTGTGTACACTACAAGCAGGACAGACCAGATGATTGTTCCTCTAATCATAATACCCTGAATTTCCATTTTGTATGTATGTCGTGAACACATAAATGGGGAGCTAAATTTTGTTACATTTTTTCTTCTGTTTTGCATTTGATGAAATAAAAGGAGAAACAGAAATTAAATGGAAATGAGAAAGCAAACGCAATAATAAACTCAGATCAAACCTGAGAAGGTGGAAGGAAGAAAATCCTTCCAAAGTTCTATCTCCCAGATGCCTTGCAAAAATAAGAAAAAATCAAAAATAAATGTATCCAAAGTCAAAGGTAGTGATAACTTTATGCTTTCAAACACCACATAGAAAGATAGTCCCAAGACAAAACTGACTCAAAGGACTAAACAAGAAACAAAGGAATATACAGAAAAGGCAAAAAAAAAATTAAGCTTTTTAAATATGAAATAGAACTTCTTATGCCTATTCCGTATTTCTGATCGGTCTGCTTGGATGTGGTTCAATGGAAGTAGAAGCAGAGTACTTCTATGTCCTGGGGAGCTATTCGGAAGACAGCTATAAATGTTAAAAGCACAGGTATTGTTTAAGTCAAGGATTTTACACTTCATACTTGGCATTCTGGACCAAACTGTTCTCTGTCGTAAGGGCTGTCTTCCGTCTTGTAAGATGTTAAACAGCACCTCTGACCTCTAATGACTCCTTCCCATGTGGCAGCCAAAAATGTCTCTGGACATTCATCGTTCAGTGTAACCTGGGAGACAAAATGACTCTTGGTTCAGAAACACAGTTTGAACTTAAAAATAGCAAAATAATTTTGCAGCATTGATACTATAACAAACTAGTGAGGAAGAATATAAAATGTCATCAAACATGTGCATAACATAGCCCCATTATGAAATATTAGACATTTTTGAACTATTTAATCTGCATATGATAGTTGATTGGAGAGAAGTTGGTAAGGAATTATTGAGAGAGAGAATGAGAATGACAATAAGGGAGACAAGCTACAAAGGAATACTGCAGTAAAAATAAATAGCATTTACAGTATTCATAGCGTCTGATTTGTGCATTTGCATAGGACGTGTGTGAGAATGTAGATATGAAAATGCAGAAGGAGAATTTTTAAATAAACTAAACTTATAAAAACAGTTACAGTGTTAAGTTACTATAATGTTTTTCTTTAATAAAATAAATTATAGATTTTCTTTGTTTTAAATAAAATATAGAGAGATTGAACTCAGGGCTTTCTGCATTCAAGGAAAATACTCTGTCACTGAGCTAAAATCCTAGGTCTGGCTTTTAATTGAAACATAATAGCTGTACATAATAATAGGGCACACTGTCATAGTTCAACATATGTACACAATATTTAATCCTCAAACTGAGGACATTACATTTCCCTCTCCTTAAACATTTATCAATCCTTTGCATTGGGAAACTATGAATTCTTCTGTTCAAATTCTTAAAAAAAAATATGCAACTAAAAACCCAGGATATTGTTATCTTTAAAGTATTTGCTCATAACTACCGTTGTTAATTTCTTACCATCTTGTTTTGCAATGCTGTATCATTTTTTTATTGTTTTTTGTTTTATCCTCTTTAAAATTAAAACAGAATAACATTTTGGGGATTTTTTTAGTTTTTTATTTTAAAAGAAGTAAAAATAGTTTAAAAATTAGAAATGATACAGAATTTCAAAAAACAAGATGATATGAATTCAATAATGGTTATTATTTACATATTGTTGTCTTCAAAGTAGTTGTTCAGATTACCAGATATAAGCATGTAAAAACTGGTCAAAAAAATTTTAATTAAGTATTAACTGTTCCTTTCAGTAAACCAATAGGAATTAGTACTACAATTATCTTAGCCATCTTGTGTGTGTGTATACATATACTTCCTTCCTTCTTTCTTTTCCCCTTTCCTTCATTCCAGCTGTTCTTTCCTTTTGAGCAGCTTATTTCCCTTTCACAATATTTATTGTGGACTGGGGATATAGCTCAGCAGCACAGCACCTGCCTGGCAGGCACAAGGACCTGAGTTTGATTCCTGGCACCAAAAAAACCACTATTGTACCTTTCAGATTTTATTTACTCTTTCAGGTTCCCACCAGGATAGCATTTTGGAAGTGATTTTGTTTTTCTCATGATTACAAAAATTATTGGGTAAAAATACACAGTAAATTATTTTGAACTATAAACACAGCACCATGCTGTAAAATATTAAATTATGCTCCTCCTGTGTAGTTGTATTTTGGTTCCCATTACTCAACAAACCTTGTCTCCCCTCCCCTACCTTTCTTCATTTCTAGCGACCAATATTCTACTCTGTGTTGTATAGATTTTGAATTTTTTAAATTCTTGATGAACATTTCCTCATTCTATGTGTTTTTTAGGTTTCTTATTAGTATTTGTTTGTGATGTGTAATAATTACCTTCATCTTGAGGAATTTATACATATACATATCACATCTAATCATTTTCCCTGTCCCTTTCTTATCCTCTTGCCTCCCCTGGTCCCCAGACCACCTCCCCATCTCCACTAAGTCTCCCTTTTGCTTATCATCTCTTATTTTTGCACTTTGGATAATTTTTATTTTGGATTTAGTGTGATATCTATATACACACGCACTGATTGAAAGGATGAAAATTAAAAGATAATCTGAACCATGAATGAGAAAAGATACAAAATACTAATTATTTTGTAGGTTATTAGTTCAAGATAAAATTACCAGAGACTTGTGGAAATAATAGAATATGACAGGAAGTCTTCCAAAATGCATACAGGTAACAGTATCTAACATTTTAATTTGTTTTATATAAAGAAATATGTGTTCAAATAGGTTTGATCAAGATTAAGTGCATTTTAATAAAATGAAAAAGAATGATGCCTTACAGGCAATGGTTGAAGGGGATGCATTTAATAAAAATGTCTCAGGTCACAAAAAGCCAAAAGACACAATAAAAAAAATCACAGAAATGTGAAAGGAAGCTGGAAATATATGTGTATAAATGTATGAAATAACTTGCTAGCACTAAAGATTCAGAACATTCATTTTTTTATTTAAAGCAAAGACCTGCAAGCAAATAATTTAAATTAGTCGATTCTTTCTGAAGGAAAAAAAGCATATAAGGATGCAATATGATAATTGATCGATATAACTACACAAAATTTATAAATTTACCTTCCCGACAAATACCTTTACACATGCCTGAAAAAAACTACATAGCAAACAATTTCTGAAAGAAAATTCCAATATTTTGCTTTTAAAAATGCAGTCAAAACAGAAATAAAAAGCGCCACCTCAGTATAAAAGAGAAAAATCTTGCATAGATACTTTGTGATAGAGAAAGAACATAATTAACAAACTCGCAGATATATTCAGTCTCATGGGACATTGAACCATTCCAAATTGAGACTTTTAGGCAAATCTCTATTCACCTACTAAGTTTTGCTGTGAATACACAGAGAGGTGAGACTTTGAAAAGCACGTTTCATGAACTTCTGTTGCAAGATGAGAGTTGCCAGAGTGTCTTTCTCTGGATCTTTATCACCAATACAGAAACATAGTCCAGTAAGTCTCATCATAAACAGTAATGCCTTCATTATGCTGCATCTCCCTGTAAAATTAATACCCCATTTATCTGCTTCCCTTAACTGCAAGAATCTTTGGACTTAGGTTCTTTTAATGGAAGTACTTTATACTTCTCATTCAGTCTTCTACTCAGGCATCTATTATCATCCCTTCAGTCAGCAATAAACCCTGGGTCAATTGGTTTAATATTCACTGCTCATTTTAGCTACATGAATAAACACAGCATTATCAATACATGCACGATTATGAATAAATAATTGAGAAAGAAAGCAACCACTGCAATCCCTCTTCTGGG